ACAATATTAGCTAACAGACAGACTTTTTCACACTTTGGCATTGGATGAATTAATATTGGTTGAAGATTAGTATTTTTAATTCTTGAGTCAAACTCAAGGCCCTTGGGCCAGATCTGGCTGCGAGGTGGTTAGATCTGGCCCATGAGGCCATCCGAGAAACAGCAAAGGACTGGCCTGTGGAGCCTCGACCTGACACAGGACCACCAGCCCCAATCTGCAACCTGGTGGTGGCCATCTGAGCCAGAACACGACCAGTTTTAGATCTGCATTGCCTCAGCCCCACATGCTCACAGGAGGTAGCAAGTATGTGGGGCCTGGTGTCCCTGACTGCATTCTGAGCATATCCCTTTCACCTAGGACACCAGCCCTCACATGCTTTCTGCCTCAGCAGTACTGCAGATCTAAGGCTGGCTGTGGTCTGGCCTAGATACCCACCACCAGGTTGCAGATCAGTGCCACGCCTGCACCAGCATCTCCATGTCTGGCTTGCTGGCCGTGTGTGTGTGTGTGTGTGTGTGTGTGTGTGTGTGTGTGTGTGTGTGTGCAGGGGGGAGTTGTCTGGCAGCAGTGTCTCTGCAACCTCCTGCAAACATCAAGCTGACCCTCCAAGAGGCAAGCATGGCAGTGGCAGCAACACAAGCAGCAGACAGAGTCAAGGGGGAGGATGTAATCCGGACCTCCGGAAATGGCTGCTCTATGGTCAGGGTGGGGCAGGCAGCTGCCCAGCACATCCAGCAGGCCAGACTGCATGCCTACTCCTGCACCTCTTCCTCTCTCACCACCATGGGCTAAGGCAAGATGGAGCAAGGGATGAGGCAGCCGCTGCTGGACACCATCAGCCTGCCTACTCCATCTGTTTTTGCATGTGGTTGGAGAGCAGGTTGCCACTGGTCATCTCCTCGGTCCCCTCATGGGTCTTGCTCTTGGCCCCCTTGTGGAGCGTGTTCCCCTTGCACACCCGACACATCTAGGCACTGCTGTGGGCTGCTGCCACCACCGAGCTCACACAAAACCATTAGGCCGCTGCCTCTCAGCAGACCCACCCAGCCCAAAGGAGGCAAAGCAGCCAGCTAGAAAGGCCTAATAGAGCACATACAGGCCCAGCAGGCAAATGACAGCCATCCCAATTGGGAAAAGCCAGATCCCTATCAGTGCCATGGCTGCCCAGGCCCCGCCAGGATTGCATGCCTCCTGTCTCTGCTGGCCCTAGGCAACCATGGCACCGTGGATCTGGCTTTTGCCCACTCAGGATGGCCTTCTTTTGCCTGCTGGGCCTGGATGTGCTCTATCACCTCACTAGGTCTTTCTAGCTGTCTACTTCACCTCTTTTGGGCTGGAGGGTCTGCTGAGAGGCAGCAATATGCACCGGACCCAAGGTGAATTGGGTACATGAGGGGAATGTGCTCCATGTGACCAGCAGCGACCTGCTCTCCAACCACAAGAAAAAATAGTGGGACAGAGTAAGCACATCTAAGCAGTCCGCATCGTGTGCCCCCTCTCTGCCTGCTGCTGATGCTGCCACCACACCTGCTGCTTGGACAGTAAATTTGGTGGTGGGAGTGGGCTCTGGATCCACAAATTGTACCAGCAGAAGGTCTGGTAGGCTTTAGCTGGAAACCATCATCCCCACACATAAAGGGCAGCAAGCGCACAGTGGCCAACAGTTTCTGGCAGCAGCCATTCCATCCCCTGCCTTGCCTCACCTTATCCCACAGGACAAGCCTACCGCCCATCGCTCTACCAGATGCCTGCATTCTTCCCCAACCCCATCCAGCCCCACAGGTACCCCCTATAGCAGGGGTCCCCAACCATCGGGCCGCAGACCAGTCCTGGTCCATGGAACATTTCCTACCGGGCCGCCAGTTTGCTGGGCGCCGCCATCTTGTTTGACGAGAAAGTGCTTCCGGGTGAGCTTTTCCGGTTGGAAAGCGGCGTTTGGGTCCTGAAGGAATCCTCGCGCCTTAGTTTCATCGAAGGGGGGGGCTTCAAATGAAACTAAGGCGCGAGGATTCGTTCAGCACCCAAGGCAAGGTGAGCCGAGCGACCGTCCCGAAGCCATCCTGAAGCGAAGTCCATCGACAAAGGTACAAAGGAGGAGTTGAAGGTGGCAGGGAGAAGCGGGGGACGGCTGGCTGGCCGGTCGCTCGGCTTGCCTTGCCTTGTCATGCGTGCTGATGCCGGTACCAGGCCGTGGATCATTTTGTGATGCTGGTACCGGGCCGTGGCACAAAAAAGGTTGGGGACCACTGCCCTATAGGATCAATATCAAGCTTGTCCCAGGCCATACCCAGTCAGCCACAACCACCTCAGCCACGCCCTCCTTGCCCCTACACAAGGACAACCACAATGCTAATCCAGCCTTCAATAAGGCTTTAAAGGTTTCCCCTATTTCTTATCCAGTAATGACTGAATCAAAGGGAGAGTGCTCATCACTGAGGGAGCCTTAATTGTCAGACAGATGCTTCCACCATTATATGGCCATCATGAAAATACCAAATGCAATAACCTTCCCACTGAAGCAATACCTATTTATCTACTTGCATTTGCATGATTTCAAACTGCTAGGTTGGCAATTTTGAGGTGAGTAATGGGAACTCCTCCCATCTCATGGCGCTCAGGTTTTCAAACCTAGGCTGTCAGCTTTCCAGGTGATAAGACTAGCGTCTTAAGCACTGAGCCACTGTGCTGCCCCAATTCTTCTAAAGCAGTCTGATTTTAATTCATAAAAATGTTTATTTAAAAAAATAAATTGTAACTAAATGTTTAACATCTATGGGCCTCTTTAAATTGATGTCACTACAACATCCTCTGTTCCAGATCCTCAGCACTGTCTGTTCCAGGAAGCAGGAGATCAGTTCCAATCAGAGGGTCTCTCTTTAGTCCAACCCCTGGTCAGAGATGCAGGTCAGGGGTCCCCAAACCCCCAGTCCATGGACCAGAACCAGCCCATTGCATGACATCCACCGATCTACGCAAACAAGTGAAGCCCCACTCTCAAGATGCAGGCAGCACACGAAACTACGCCCCCTCCATTCTATGGAAAAACCTCTCTCTACAGATCCAGGTCCAAAAGATTGAAGGCCACTGATGTAGAGCAGTGGTTGCCAACCAGTAGGCCGCAGCCCACTGGTGGGCCTTTAGAAAATTTTGGTGGGCCACAGAGAAATCTCACCCCCAGAGCACCCTCCCAAAGCAATTAATCCAGGCTGCAAAGAAACACAAGGCTGCGCCACCCACATAGCCTGCAGGAACCCTCCCCGCTCACTCCTTACCCGGTAAACTTGCCTGCTAAAATTGCTATTTTTCCTTTTTCTGACCATCATCTGTTCTGCTGTGCCAGGAGATTTAGATTAGCTAGGAAGCAGAAACTGGTTGGATTTCTTGCTTTCTAGCAAGTCTTTAGATCTTCAGCTCAGCACAGCTGAACCTCCCTTAGGACTGAAGGTTTGCTTGCAAGCAAATTCAGTGCAGACTCACAGCAAGCAAATTTGAGAGACTGAGCTAGCCAATGGCAGATAGATAGATCACTGAATGATTCTGTGAGCAACTCAATCTGTCTGCTTTGCCTGGTTTGGGGTAAAAATTGCTTTTTTAATAAAAAAATTCAATATTTACATACATGGTGTGTTGTGAGTTAATTTTGTGAGTTTGCTTGCTAGCAAAATTTATGTGACAGACTGAGCTAGCCAATGGCAGATAGATAGATCTCTGAATGAATCTGTGATTCTGTGAGCAACTCAATCTGCCTGTCCGCTTTGCCTGATTTTGAGTAAAAGTTGCTCTTTTTTATAAAAAAAATTCAATATTTATATAAATATTTATAATATTTACATACAAGTCATGCCCAGCCAGTCACATGACCACCAAGCCACACCCACAAATTAGGCCATGCCCACAGAACCAGTTAATGGTCCCTGGGATCTAAAATTATGAGTTTGGTGGTCCCTGAGGTCCAAAAGGTTGGCAACCCATGACGTAGAGGGTAGTTAAACAGTAAAGGAAGAGGAGCTGAATGATGAAGCAAGAGAGAGAGGCAGGAAGGGCCTATCATTTCTCTGCTGCAGAATACATTGGTGCATATCCCCTTTTGCTAGGCTGGCTTTGAATACAACTTTATCACTTTTAGAAGAGCAATAAAGCCATAAAGTATTTAAAAATAACTTGCAAACAGCAAACAATTATAGGGAGAAGCAATTGAAAGGTCAAATGGGATGTAACTCTTTTACTGTAAGCAATACTTGTGGCAAAATAGGAAACATCAATGGGGAAAGTAAACTTTAGGTGATTATCATTTTCTGCTACCTCAAATTTGGGTGGATTGCACTTTAATTTGGTTGTGGGAATGAGCCCTTAGAGCTAAAAGTAATTTTTCCAAAAGTCTAACAACTATGAAAAAGTCCGAAGCACCATTGACATTTGCTCAATCTGAATTACAAATGCTTATACACTGAGGTAGATTATTATTTATTTCTGCGAATATTTTAAAAGACGACTCAGAACAGAGATGTTTCATTTAACACTATTCTGCAGTATATAATAATATAATTTATAGTAAAGTATACAATATAATAAATATTTGTTAACAATCGTATGAAGCATTACTAAAACGAACTGTGATTCAACTAGTCTTTGCAGTGTTACAAGTAATTTCTGTACTTCAAAGTTTCCTGCAGGGGGAGGACGGAATAAAACGAACTGCCACACAGCACTAGAAGGTGTAGCACTTTTGGTCTTTTTAAATCTTAATCTCTTCATCTATATGAACAATAAAACTCCGAGTGAGTGAATCGGGAGATCTGTGTAATTCCAGACTTGACAAACTTTGTAACATAAACCCAACAGTGATCCAAACTTTTTTCCACCAAGCGATCTTGAGGCGCGCTGACCTCGGAGAAACCTAGTTCCAGGCTCTGTCCCCTGCCACTTCCCTATAACCAACGAAGTGAGTAAAAGGACAAAGGCTAGTTTTGCCTTCCACATAAGATCTAATAAACAAGTACCTTTCTCAGAGACGCTCTTAAAGCAAAATGGTCTTCCGTGTATAATAGGTGATCTCCGGACGGGGCGACACTACTATAAGAGCGGTGACTCGGATTAAGCGAACAACTTTCTGGAAAGCCTGCAATTGAGACTCCAACAAAACGTCGCAGGGGTGGTTTGAACAACTTCATTAGCTCTTTAGTATTGAAAAGAGATCTCCGAAAGATCGCCATGCTGTTGGATAGTGCACGACTCCCGCATGCGTGTCGTTCGAAAAGAGCAACTAGTTTCGGTTTATAATCCCCGCCTGCAAGATTTTTTTTTTTCTGCTACCAAGGAGTTGTATTGCGCTGGGTCTTTAAAATGCTCAATTGCTGATGTGGAGACATACAGAACAGTCACTGGCAGCGGAGGATTGCCCAATTATATAAGCATCTCTCAGAAAGACGTAAAATAGGATGCAAGTTTTCGAATTTCCCTGGAAAGATAATGGGGTGTTTCACGATTTTCAAAAATCGTGAAAAGTGGAGGATCGCTATGGTTGCTTATTCATCGTCCTGATGGTAACCAAAACTTGGAATATGATAGAGCACTGTGCTCATTTACTTTAAATAGGAAGTTTAATTTGCTTTAACCTTCTCCTCCCCCCCCCCCCCATCCCCAAATGATCTTCATAATTGTTCTTAGTAAAAATTGTGAGTGAGCTAAGCCAAATACTCGGTTACAGTTGTATCCCTCTGAACAGAAAAAAAGATCATAGTTAGTATGAGAAGATGGGGTGGAGGATAGCAAATCTCTGCTTTCTGGTTAGATACTGTTCCTTTGCTAAAACTATTTCATGAAAACATGAACACTCCCTCAACAGGCAGTATGTCCTAATTAAAAGTTTTAACTCAGTTTGCTAATAAGTATTTCATTATAAACTTCGTGTTTATTATGTCATCACTTCATTGCAGAGGTTCAGAAAATATTTCTGAAACAAAAATCCTTTGGTTTCTTCATAATTCATATGTTTTGATAGTCTTCATTCTTAGAATTTTACAGGAGATCCGCTTTATTAACTATCTACCATCTTTGGATTCTACTAGAATTTTTTTAAATGTTCAAATTAAACACTTCAATTAATTACATGTGTAATGATTGATAAAAGGCTAAACAATGCTAATCCAGCTTGATGCCTTCCAGTTATGCTACAATGTCTATAAATTCTAACCAGTGTGTATATTATGGGAATGATGGACTCCTTCATCTCAAAAACATAAGTTTATTTTTATAGCTATAATTTTAATTTAGAAGCCTAAATATTATATTGGTATATATACTGGTTAGGTTACTAAATGAATAACAGAGTGTTGCACCTGGATAAGCTTTGCAACACTACCTGATTGAAATCCAGAGAGAGCATTTTGAGGGGTGGAAAAGTATGTTACAAGTTTCTCTTAATCAGAGGTTAAAGGGGTCTGACCTCCAAATTTTGGAACTGTAGCCCTATATTTCTATCCAATCCTTCCCTTTTGTATTTAAAAAAGCAGCCAAAATCACTGTATTCCACCAAGCTTTTAACACTAGGCCCTGCACTTAAAATATTTTAAAGCAAGATGATAACACATACATTGTATAAAACTGAGATCTCAGCCTGGTACTATAAGGTTATTGTCCAATTGGAAATACTCCAAAACAACTCCACTAGGTAGGTTTTTGATTAGAGTCTCCCCAGGTATACTTGCTGCTTATTTAAGAACAGAGTGAAGGCTGGTCTCCATCATGGTCAAAATACATCTTGAATTGTTGAGGCACTATGAGAAGTTTGAAAGTCTCAAGAATCCCATCTTCCAAAGTCTGTTTTCTCCATTGCTAAGTTGGGAACCAATTGACCAAACTACTATTCATCTTAAAAATGGACTTCAGATGTAAAACCGTAGCATTAATAAATAAGATACTTGTGCTCATTTAGATTTGGATAATACTACTTCTAGTTACTTTTCAACTTCCAACTGGGACTGGAATTTATTATGCTGGGCACAGTGATTGTTAAGTGAAGCATACGGTTTCTTTTTTTTTGTCATAGTTGTTAGATAAATCTCCACAGCTATTCAGTGAATCACTGCAATTGTTAAGTGAATCATGGGATTGCTAAGTGGAACCAGCTTCCCTCATTCCCTCTACTTGTCAGCTGAGAAAGTCACAAATGGTGGTCATACTATCCTGAGGTACTACCCACTGTTGTAAATATATGCTATTGGAATTTTGATCCAGTGACTAAGAAGAGGCTGCAAGGATTATAAGCAGAGGTGGTATTCATCTGGAGAACCAGTAGCGGAAATTTTGAGTAGTTCGGAGAACCGGCAAATACCACCTCTGACTGAAGATTTTACAGTATCCTTCCCCTGCCACGCCCACGAAGCCACACCCGCAGAACCAGTAGTAGAAAAAAAAATTGAATCCCACCACTGATTATAAGGATGGACCAGACTGGCTGTAAATCACATTTTTACTGTTGTTGCAATAGTTGCTAAACAATGGTTGTAAGTTGAGCACCTGTTTTTGCAATGGGGAAATCTATGAGCTTCCAAGTGTTGCCAAATTAGATTATGCAGGATGAATTGTGAAGGCTATTGAAAATTGGAGATTAACAACCTTTGACTTAGATTTAGAGACTTAGAATAACTTTATTGTAACTTTGAATGTATACTACAATCAGCATACATTAAAAAGAAATTACGTATACAATTGTTGCCATGAGGACATTTGAATTAAAATCCTATATTATGAAGGGGGGGGGGATGTCATAATGTTTCATTCGGTTTTTTTATTTTTACCAAAATTATACAGTAGTTAATAATAATTTCAGCCAGTGAATGCAAGAAATTAAGAATACAAAACAGCCTCTTGAAAGAAATATAACAATATGGTAAGCTAAAACTTGTTTCAGGAAATAATTGTTCTGTTATTTTTTTTAAAAAAAATTAATTTGTACAATAAGATTCCTGAGCTTTAAATTAAACTAGCTATACTATAGTAGGTTATTTTTCCCAGTTTCAAAATTATCTGCATTCTTCTAAGCAATTACACACCCTCCTTTCTCTTTGAAAGGGTTCCTGTCTTCAGGAATGCCTTTCACTAGGGGGTCTTCTCCCGATCTTTCTTCAATATAATTTTTAATTTCTTCAGAACACTTAGACACCTTAAGGGGGGAAAAGAGAAAAAAACATATTTAAATCTCTTTTATAAAGGTAGAAAATATCCCTTTGATATGCAGAGTTTATGAAACTGAGGAAGAGAAGAACTGTCACCTTGTTTTGTATCATAAGAAGCATAACATATGCATGCTGGGTATTATGAAATACAGCCTCCCAGAGTAACTTGCATAATGTTTATAATGAATTGTTGCATAATAAAATGAACGGCATTCTTTTTCCCATGTGCTGAATAAAACTCTCTTGCTGTTCTGTAAGGATGAAAGTAAGCAGTATTTTTCCATACAATCACAGCCTATAAGCTTTGTCACCAATTACCTTTATAGGAATTCAGGTGCCTGGAAATAACTGGTGGCACTGATAAAGTAAACAGAACCAAAATATAAATCAGCAATGGGGATACATTTCACACTGGTCATTTTTGCCAACTCAAAGATATATAGTATATATAGCATTATGATTTAGGAATGGTGAAAGTCATATGATATACAAAGATGTGGTAGGGTAGTCTAAGATATTAAAAGTCCAAGACTTGGAAACTGAAATATCATAAATTTGCAACCAGAATAGGGTAATACTCTCTGTAGAGGCATCCTGAGTTAAAATTCTAATTATGGTTATTTGGCATGTTGACAATATATGCTAATATAATATGTACATAATATGAATGATTCCGGTAGAAGTGCCATACAGAATTCAGGTCACTGAATCATGACATTTTCATTAAATATATAAATTAAGTAGAAATAAAATGGGAAAATACAAATTTTTGCCATAATATAATCATTATTATATAAACTATGGCTATTCTAAAATTATGACTATTATGACTGACTAAGATATCTATACACTGTATGAAGCTGCCTTAAACTTCATTCAATTGAGATCCACAATGGAAATGCTTGGATAATCCTTTATTTGAAAAACAAATTGAGAAGAATTGAGCAATGAGTTTGCTTGAGAAAGCATTTGAGAAAATTCGTTTGTTCAAAAAGGGAAAATAGTTATTTTATCAGGACTAGCAGAATTATATTTATTTTACAAAGGGTAACATTAATACATTTCAGGGTTTACCAAACATTTAAAGGAGATGTTTTATAATTGTTTATTGTATTAAGTATTTGTATATAGTTCTAGCTCTTCTTTTAAAATCCATAATTAACCAAAAAGCAAGTATTATCTGCTTTTGTATTTAAGTGTCAGGTTTCCTGCCCACCAGACTTTTGTTGTTGTTATAAGATATTTTGATTAAAAACATTTAGGAGAAGCTTTTCTGTTTCTCACAACTAAATTAGGTAGGTGCCCAATTCTAGTGATGGACATTTTAGTAATTAATCTGGGCACCGATAGATTATGCAGACATTCTTAGACTATAAAGCTACAGCTTAGCACTTTTGTTTGGAAATATGTTCACCTGTTTAGGAAAAAAAGAGAAATATAATTTGCCAATTAGTGCAACATTTTGGTGTCTATGTTATGTTGTTCCTTTTAGCCATCTGACTTAGCATGTTTTTGAATTTATGTAAAATACATTGCAGTATTCGAGTTGTGTCATTGTTAGGCCACCATATTCTGATCTGAACGAACCTTTGGGAATTATAAGCAGGGCTTCCCAGTTGACCTACTGAATAGCTGGATGATATCAGAAATAAAATCTCGAAAGTGCTTTATTCCAAAGCCAATTAAAACTCATCTCAATGAAAAAGTCTTCCCAATTAGAGGAGATCTATGCCCCAAACAATTTTTTAAGATATGCTTAAAGACATACTTTACTCAAGGCCCGGGGGCCAGATCTGGCCTGTGGGGCGCTTAGATCTGGCCCACAGGGCTACCCTGGAAATAGTGAAGGACTGGCCTGTGGTGCCTCTGCCAGCGAAAACAGGCTCCCAAGCTCTATTTTTGGCTGTGATGACTTCCCGCAACCCTCTGACAGCAAAAACAGGGTTGCAGGAGAAAGTTGCAGCCAAAAACGGAGCTTGGGAGCCTGTTGTCACTGGCAGAGTGCTCAGGTTACCACAGGTGCCCCTGACACAAGTGACATCGAGCTGGTCATGCCACACTGCCCCCGAGGCCA